CATGATGTCCTTCTCTAGAGACTGGTCCCATCTGATAATATGCCCAAAGTACAAGCGACAACTCTACAGCAAACATTATATTTAATAGTGATATACGGAACCTTTTGTTTAAGATCAGAAGCTAGACAAATGTGTTTGCTACCATCATTTGTATTCAACATTATACTAGTGGTCTTAGCCAAAGTGAATTATATAGCCATATAAAAAATAATTTGGCCCCTTACATCATACCATTCATTAAAAGCAATTTCAGGTGGATTGAAGATTTAAATATGAAGATAAAACAACAAAAGTTCAAGAAGATAACAGAATAGCTTTGAATAGGCTAAGATTTGTTAAGCCAAACACAAGAAGATTAATGCCAAAGAAAAAAGATCTATATATGTGCACAAAAGTCTGATGCAAAACAACCTTGTATAGGGTTTCTGATGCTTTAAATCTTTGTGGAGACAGAAAGCCTTATCTTTCTCATCTGGAGTGGCTAGTGGGTTTGAACCACCAACTCTGTGGTTTGAAGTCCAATGCTTACCCTATAGAGCCACCATGCTCTCTCTCTATATATATGTCGAGGTCCTATGTCGGGTTCCAGCCTCGACAAGGAAGTGTGGGTGTCACGAAGAAGGGCGATCTGGCGGCGAAAGGGATAGAGAAAGAGAGAGATGAAATATATACAAAAAAGACAGACACATAGATATGATGCAAGCTGGCAGGTAGACAGATCTGCAAACATATTGCCTAGCATTGCACAGCATTGCACAGCATTGCACACAGATCTAACTCTACCTCAGTCTTTTATTCTTTTTTTGAGGGAGGGATTTGTTACAAAGAAAGGATGTAATTCACTCACAAAGGGAGGATGTGATTCTTTAGATAAGACAGGTTCCGGAACTGAAATGTTATTAATCATTCAAAATAGGGCATAATGATTCACAGGACAACTTTAAAGATATTTTCAGTTTTTCTTAACAATCTAACATTTTTATTTTTACAGAAAAAAGGTTCAATCAAGCTGTTATATATTAATTTTTAGGCTTAAATGATCTAGAGCAGTGATGTGTGGTTTCTTAAGGATACTTAACATAAAGCAAGGTTCCTGAAAGGAGCCAAGTTGTCTCTGTACACTTTGCAAACTTGTTTGTGAGCAATATCTCAGGCACCGGGCTTCATTTATCTATATCTAAAATGCTACATTATTCTTAATTATCACATTCCTACATACTTTCAGGAGGAAGGAGAGCATCTGGGTTAAACTGATTGTATTCAGAGGTGGTTTAATGGGGCTGCCACTGATCAACCCAGGGTCTGCATATGCTGTCCCCAGCATATATATTGTTGTTGTTGTTAAGTGTCATCAAGTAGGCTCTGACTCATAGCAACCCTGTATAGGGGGTTTCTGAGGAGCAGCTGGTGGGTTTGAATTGCCAACCTTGTGTATCTATATCTATATCTATATATAGATATAGATATATAGGAGACCTGGTGTGGTGCTGTGGGTTAACATGCCAGACTGCAAAGCCATTTGAATTTGAACTGCAAGGTAGGCGGTTCAACCTCACCAGCTGCTCCTAGGAAACCCTGTCCAGGGTTGCTATGGGTTGGAATTGACACGATGGCACGTAACAACAACAAATATTTATGAGTCCTGGTGTGGTGCTGTGGGTTAATGCGCTGAACTGTGAAGTTGGTTTCACAATTCAAGCACACCAGTGGCTCCTCAGAAACCCTGTACAGGGTTGCTATGGGTTGGAATTGACTTGACAGCACTGAACAGTTACATATATATATGTGTGTGTGTGTGTGTGTGTGTGTGTGTATGCATGTGCGTGTGTACTTATACACAAGAATGAATCAAAAATTATCCACACTCTGGTTATATCAAAACATCCATTCATATCCATGGCTGATGACAACATTGAACATGCATGTAAAAGGATTAGGTTGCACAGATGCATGACAGTGCATTATGTGGCAAATCATTTGCAAATCAGCCATGACTCTGCCAATGAAATAACCCACGACAGAATTGGGTTTCAAAAAATTTGTTCAAGATGGAACCAAAGCAACTCATGGAAGAACATAAACAGAACCGTTAGGACAGCTGCAAATAAAATTTGGAACCATACTCAAAAAAGGAAGGTATTATTTTCTTTAAAAAATTGTTACTGGTGACTAGACATGGATTCATCACTATGAGCTTCAGAGTAAATGGCAGAGTATGGAATGGAAGCATCCTCAGTCGCTAACGAAGAATAAGTTAAAAAGTCAACCATCAGCTAGAAAATTGATGTGTACAGTTTTCTGGGATTCTCAAGGTACAGTCTTGGAAAACTATCAACAAAGTGGCTCAATGAGCAACAGTGCTCATTTACAGTGATATGCTCACTGAAAAGATGAAGCCTAAATTTGGGATTAAATGCAGGGGACTTCTATCTAAGGGCTTTGTGTTCTTGCATGACAATGCCTATCTGCACAACTCTGCCCACACTGGTGACACTCTACAAACACTTCCTTTTGAGGTGTTAAAGCATCCTACCTGATTACAGTCCTGATCTTGCTGGATCAGACTTTCATCTGTTTGGTCTCCTGAAAGCAGCCCTTAGAGGACAAAGGTCTAGCTCTGATGAAGAATTGAAGACCGCGGTGCATTCGTGATTCAAAGCTCAGCCCAAAACATTTTTTAATGAGAGAATACAAGAGCTTGTATTGAGATGGATAAAATGTATTGTGTATTGAAAAGCAAGGAGATTGTGTTGAACAATGATGTATGTGTCTTTTCTGAAAGTTGATTAAAATAAATTCTACAGCCTGAGTGCAGATAATTTTTGACTCAGCCGTGTGTGTGTGTGTGTGCGTGTGCGTGTGCGTGTGCATGTGTATAAACCCTGTATAGAGTATCTGAGGAGGGCTGGTGGATTTGAACCACCAACTTTGTGGTTAGCTGTTTATATAGTGTTTGTCCTACAGCACCACACTAGGACTTGGCTCTAGATAAATGTTAGGTTTGTTGTTGATGTTAAGTACTGTCGAGTTGGTTCTAACTATATAGGATTTCTGAGGAGCGGCTGGTGAGTTTGAACCACCAACCTTGCATTTAGCAGTCAAGTG